GTTTCTTCCCCATACCCTCCATTATACTTTTTTTTAATTTTTGGCGATGCTATACGAATCGCTCCTTTTCCTCCTTTCTATGGATCGTTTCGATGTGTATCACTGTCTTCATGTAACTGTTGTTGTGGCCAGTTGGAGTGGCGGGCAAGGGACATGGTGTGACGACGCTTTAGTTTCCTTGCAGTGCCACACTAACCACGCGCCGCGTTGCTGCCGAGCGTGCACCAACACGCCCCAGCTCCAAGGCTTTCACGGCACTGTCGCTGCTGAGGTACTGAAGGGCCCAGGCACTTTTAACGTGCCTCTTTGAGGCTGGCTGTGAGGATTGTTGTTTGTGCGCTGCCCTCATTGCCGTTATGTTTGCTCTCCACTTCCTTCACTTGCTCCCGCTTGTCACAAGGCACACATACAAACACACGCACAGGGACAAGAGCCACCAGACACGTCACCACGAGGGCTGCGATGCTTTTCCCGGAAGAAGATGGACCACCGGGCAGCGTCCCCGCGGCGGCCAGCACTGAACCCGAGAAAACGCCAGGAGCCGAGAGGCGCGGGAAGACACGCAGAAAGGGTAGCGGTAAGGGACGCAACCCGTTGCGTGTGGTACAGTCAGCTGGTGTCGTGAAAGCTAAGCACTTTGATGGGGCTAATTCCCACTCGCAGGTGGATGCCGCTCCTGCCGCTTGCACCACTGTCCCTCCGCTGGCGAGCAGGCAGCAAGGGTGTAATAAGGCGCCATTCCCCACGGGCAGTGACGGGCTGGTCGCGGACAGCAGTGCCTCGCAACAGCACGGGTGCCGGGATGAGCCGAAACGGGAACTGCCCACCCCACCGCCTCCAACGGGCAATTCGTCCCGTACCATTGCAAAACACGATGAGTCTGCTTGCAGTGGAGCACACGGGCTTGGCGAGGCTGCGCGCCACGAGACAACGCCGGACGGAAGTCGTGCTGAGGGCGCTCTTACAGTGGCAATGCATGCCGTTAGTTCCAGGAGGGAGGAGCCGTGTGAGTGCCGTTGTGGAGAAACAGAGAAGGTTTTGAACGGCTCTGAGAGCACCGGACTCAACGGTGCATCTCTAGACGCCCAAGTAGCACCCCCCGAGCCGTCGCCCCGCCTTGATGTGCCGCCGTCCCCTGCTGTGTACTCGCCACACCTGAAGGATGCTTCCTCTCACAGTGGCCGAGTATACAGTTTCTCTCTGCGCTGCTGGGTGTTGTGTCCCCTTGTGGCGATTCTGGTGGCGGTTAGCATTATGACGATGATACTGTCCATTGCAGCTGCACGGACAAGCTCAAGAGTTGCCTTAGCTACTTTGCATAGCGTGATTTTTGCTAATATGGAGACGGCCGTGGGTCGCATGACGCTCTCCAAGATGGTGCGCATGGCGACTTCAACAGGCAGCATGTACTTCTCCAATAACACCTTCCCGAATCCCGTAACGGACAAGCTGATGCCGCTGGAGAATGGCATGAT